CATCGTAAAAACAGTAATTGAAGTCTTTTTCCCATTTTCCACACTTTGATATGATTCGTTAGGGTCTTAATGAAAAGTCAATAACATACTTTGGTTAAAATTTCTCAATGGTAGTGTAAAACAACACCCTTTTACCCTGTCAAAAACAGCTCTGTTTACAGCAAGCCACTTTGTTGCATGTTCCTTTAAATGCAAATGAGCTCTGCTCACCCTGCCCCTCTCTCTTTAACCGCATTCATCGTGAAACTTAACTAACTAGCACATTATTAGGAAAAGCGATTTGAAAAGATTCAAAGAAAAACCTTATACTCACTTCTTCTGTAGGTGAAGCTGGATCACGAATGATCTTGTCTACAACCGCTCCGGTGTTGAAACAATGGTGGACTGATGACAGCTCACTCAGAGCGGAGCTGTGATAAAACCAAAGACTGACGCCACTGTCAATCAACAATCGTGGGAGGGGCCTGTGCAGAACTACGTCATTCTGCCAAGAAACTGAGATCGGCTAGATATGAGAAAGCGGTTTGGATTTATCAAGATTTTTAAAAAAGCACTGGGTGGATTTTTATCATTATAGGGTGGTTGTGTACACACACTGCCAAGACACATTTCAGTTCAAACAACATGTAAAAGTGAATTTTGCATCCCATGACCCCTTTAAAGGCACAATATGTAAGTTTTCGCCACTAGAGGGCGTGTATTCAAAAGAAACGAAGGCGTAGTTTGATGACGGCGTGACTGAGTGTGGAATCATGGGAGTTGTCGTCTTCATCCCCACAGCCGATGCAATCCGACAGGACTCGGGCAGAAATCATGTTCATGGAAGAGCTAATGATTTATTAGCGTAGTAGAATGAAGCAGGGTGAGGCTGAAAGCCGTCGAAGCGAAACGAGGCCGCTGAACGAGCCTGACACACGGCTCGAAAGCAGCGGAACTTTTATTATGCCACAGTCGACTGCTTCCGCTCCTTCCAGTCATGCGTATGTGGAGTAAAGCAGCGCTGTTTTATCATACTAGATACATTTGAAAGTTCGGTTATAATGCTACTCTGTGCGGTCGTCATAAAACGCATAACATATTAAAGCGTCTTTGGTGTTTCCATGTTTTCTACAAAACAAAACCAACAAAACCGGGGTTATGACGTCATTATATATAACACTGCTCTAGTGGTTTTTGGATATTTTAATAAAACAAATCAAACAACACAAGAGAGAAAATCTCTCACTGCTCTTGACTAAATCACTTTTGTAACTTTAATAAGAAGAAATATACATTTAATTTACACAGTGAAGAATATGCAGTGTTTTTATACATTTTATTACTTTATTCAATGTATGTAGCATTTCTTATTTATTTGTTCTGTGTAGTTTTTTTTGTCCTATTGCTTGTAATTAGTTTCTTGTTCTTATTTAATCACTGACTGTCTACTTGTCTTCAGTGAGCTTGAGGTTTTTTTTTCAATATCAAAGACTTTTAAAGCTGCAGTCCGTAACTTTTGGCACTCTAGCGGTTAATAAACAGAACTGCGTGCTTCTTGCAGAAAAACATTGTAGCCGGCGCTACTTCTCTCTGTTTATGTCTATGACGAATCACGCTGGTACTGGGCTACTCCGCAGCGGTACATACCCGAACCAGTCTAAAATAGTCAGAATATAAACACGTTTTATAGGTGTACCGTAGTGATTCAGGACAAGCCAAAAACACGGTTTGGAAAATGGATTCATGGTGTACTCGCTTAAAGGGGTCATATGATGCGATTTCAAGTTTTCCTTTCTCTTTGGAGTGTTACAAGCTGATTGTGCATAGATAAGATCCCTGAAGTTGCAAAGACTAAAGTCTCAAAACCAAAGAGATATTCTTTATCAAAGTTAAGACTCTGCCACGCCCCCCTAAAACGGCTCGTTCTAACACGCCCCCACATATCTACCTCACTATGTGGAAATATTAGCATAACGCGCCCAAATATTTGAAAAATAATGTGTTTTTTGAACATTAAAGCATGTCAACATATTCTGTTACACCAAATACACAAAATAATGATCTTTAAAAAAGCATCATATGACCCCTTTAATATATACATTTTGTAAATTGTGAACACAAAAAAGTTACGACTGCAGCTTTAAAGCAAAAATAACTACATCGTGATATATATCGTTACCACAAAATAAAAGTACTCATATCGTGATATTGGATTTTGGTCATTATGCCACTCCTAGTCATTTAAGAATAAGATCCTATGGTGTTTGAATCAATATCGCAATCTTTCACCAGTTAATTGTGCAACTGTAACTCCACCCTGTCTAACTATGCTTCAAAATCAATATTATTCACTTAACCTACATGCACCCACATGTGTATGAATGGCAGATAGTCAGTGTCTGCGTCTCATGGGTGATTCATCTTTGGGCTGCAGGTGACATCTCATGATGCGTCCATCATCGGGAAGCACAGGCAGAAGGAACCCCGGGCACCCAGCTGCTCATTTCAGTTTCAGTTCCCCTGAACTCAGCTCGCAGCCAGCCAGCCAACACCTCACGCTGATCTTTAGCACCCAGCCTCATTAAATCCCTTGCAGCATTGCACACTTCCCCCCTTTATTCCTCCAACTTCCTGTCTGTGTGCGTGTCAGCTTCAGGAATGCTCTAGTTGATCATTACCTCCACCTTCAGTCGCTCAGTATTTGTATGACATCAAAGGGCAATGATTACATGCTACGGAAGCGTGCTACATTATTTATTATGAAAGCAGCTTTCAATAAGAATGGCTTCTGTGTTTGTATATATTATGTATCTCAATGGAGTTCCACAAACAAATTAAATGAAACAAAGCCCATTCTGTTACAGAAATTTAACATTTGTCCAGAAAATATGACATGCTGTCAGACCAGAATACATACCACCTTCAAAATCGCAGGGATGCAGTGACTTATGCGTGTAAAGAACCCATAAGAAGTGAATGTCTGTACACATACCAATATCCACCCAGCAAAAGGACTTAAAGCTAATGCAATTAAAACAATCAACTAAATGCCATATGTTAAGCTGGAGGCTTTGTGTATTGATCTTAACATAATGGTAAACTGTGCATTCCAGTCGAGTGCCGACAGCTCCTCCAAGCCTGAGCCTGAGCGCTGACATTCTCTCTTCCCTCTGGCCAAGACTGCAGCCAGCTTTACTCAGACGAATCCACACAAAACTGAGGCCCGAGCTGTAGAGATGGATGACAACACAGTGTTCATTAACCAGACCTTAACTTCATTCAGACTTGCCAGCAGGGTCCAAAATTAACACTCAACCAGTGCCAACTATATAAATAGATTTGGGCGAGAATAACTGTCAGTTAATTTACTATACATTTAGCTAGGAAACCAAAGGTCAGAGACATAATATTTTTGTGTATTTAATATTTTTTTACGTTTTCTTTGATAAATATTTATTTACTTTTACTTTTTATTGTTTAATTGGTGAGTACAAAACAGAATAACTGGTCAGTTGGCCAATAAATTTACTATCAAGACTAGGAAACCAAAATATTTTTTTTTTCTATTTACTGTTTTATTTAAATATTTGTTTTTTTATTTACCGGTTTATTTACTTAAGTTATTTATTTATTATTTAGTCAATTTACTATCATTTAGCTAAAAGGTCACAGACATAAATTTTAGTTTTTTTAGTTTGCATTTTGTGTTGGGGTTTTATTTTATAATTATGGTTGTGCTTATTTAAATAAATATTTGCTGATTTTTCTTATTTTTATTATTTACAAAAATGTGTGTAAATGTTTCATTGTCATAAGTTCCTTGACAAGTAGCTAAGGGGATAAAAAAATGTGAATTTTGTACCCCGCTCACCAGTGAAGCTGCGGTCTAACTTGTCAGTAAAAACTCATATGGACTTGGTCATGTACAGTTTGACACAAGATTGATACCGCAGGGAAGGTACCTGTCAGTGTGTGGAAATCCCAGCTTTGACACCACAAAATTGCTCAGAATTGCAGGAAACATTACAATGTTCTTGTGCTTTTTCCCTAGTAAATGTTTGTCTTGTATGCCGCAGAGCGCTAGACTGTGCAGTAGGCATCTGGGGGCGTGAAAATGTTAGTTATATGTGGCGTTAAGGGTAAGACGGTGTCATACCAGGCATAAAAGTGAATTGTCTGCATGAGATGTCTCTGTGGAATAGAAATGATCAAAAACAGGAAGAAAAGTATTTTACTGGTAAGCCTCCTGCTGGGTCACATTTTGCAGGGATATTTTTTTTATACTGAAACACATTATATGTAGCCCTGCAGTGCGGGTAGAGAGAATGTAATGTTTCCTCTGTATTGAACTAAACATTGTCAGCTGATTTATGGGGAGATATGTATCTAGGGAGCATTATCATTAAAAGTCTGATGTTTCTCTGAATCTCAGCGGAAATAAAAAGTTTGAGATAATACCAGGCTGTCTGTCTTAAGCGCTGAACACCAGTAGATTTAGTAATAGCGTACTGATGGGAAGCAATGAACTTTCTTTGTTGTGTAACTGGTGAAATTCAAAAGATGGCATGTTTTCTGTTTAATTTTGGTTGCATGACTTTGTCCTGTCAATACCTGTAAAAACTTTTTTTTTGCTGTGCTTACTGATAAATAACTTTTTTAATGTAATACTTTTATTATTATTATCATTTATAATCTCAACTGAGTTTGTTATTGTTGTCTGTATAATCTATGTAGATCTCATTCTATGACATTTGCATTATCATTATGTGCAATTCAATGTACTTCTGCATCATTTCCTGTGTCCTTTAGAAAGAGGCATTCACACTAACAATGGATAAATCATAATCTGAGCTCTTGGTTTCTAGAATCCTACTTGACTGCATCAAGTAGTGGAGAACTATCTTCACTCCCATTGGTTGTTGCTGCATCGCTGCTCATTTTGCATAAAGTCAAGTTCAGTGGCAAAATCGTGCATTTTAACAGGCCATGTTTAATGTGCATCCCTTTCTCATCTGTTGTAGGTGATCTACAACTCTTTTGGTGGCACATCTAAAGGGCTGCACTTCAACTACCTGATCGTCGGGCTGGTTCTATTAACAAGAGGACGCGATGAAGAGAAAGCCAAATGTAGGTTTACAGAGAGGCACATGGCTATCCACTCCCATATTCTACCTATTATACTCTATACATTGATCTTGCACATTATTTCAATGTTTTTCATCGTAATTAAATGTTCTAAATCTTTGTTTTATAAATTCTGTGCATGATGCATTACAGATTAATTACTCTGTGTAGTAGCTTTATTCTCAGGATTTAAAGCATCACTTCGAAATAGCCTTATTTAGCCTTACAAATGTACGTGTATATTTTGTTTGTTTTGCATGTCACAAGAGGTGCTCGACTAATTCCATTTCAAACTGCAATCTAAACAAGCACACCTCAGCCTCAGCATATTCAATTATCCAAATGTTATTTAGCTTTGTTTTGTTCTGTGTTTCTTTAGCCAAACTGGTAGCTGCATGCACACTCCACTTCACAGTCTATTCCCCATAGATGTACTGTCTACTCTGATGTGTCACACTGTGTCCCTGACAGCTGTGATTGATGTGAGGGTGCAAGACACATTGCCTGCTAGACTCTGATAAGCTGTGTGTGTATTAACCAGCATGCCCTCTGTATCCACAGACATCTTCAGCTTGTTCGCTAGTGATTCGGGGGCCTATGTGGTCCGGGAGGATGTGGAGAACATGCTGCGTTCGGTGGATGGGGAGATCCCACCCTCTCTTAGGAAGTGCTTCACTGAGGTCAGTGCAGGAAAACTAACCTGTGCTATTTACCTACAAACTAAAAAAAACAACAAACAAAAAAGTGCATGTGATATTAACAGACGAACTACGCTCATATTTATAATTCCAAACAATCAGTAAGCGACAGGTGCTAGGAAACGCTGTTTTGTACTCATTTATTGATGAGTCGGCTGCGGTGCGGCCAACTGAATGTGCTGCTTCGCTGCTGCTCACTGCACAGAACAGACGCAGAGAGTGGTGACACTTCTCCGGGAAAGTCAGACCTCGCGTTCGCGGGACAGCACTGGCGAAATCTAAATTATCAATGTTGGCAACAGTTGTGCTGCCAAATATTTTTTTGGAAACTGCGATACTTTTTTCAGGATTCTTTGATGAATAAAAAGTTAAAAAGAACAGCATTTATTCAAAATATAAATCTTTTCTAACAATATCTAAAAAATCTTTGCTATCACTTCTTATCAATTTAACACATCCTTGCTGAATAAAAGTTTTAATTTCTTTCAAAAAAAGAAAGAATACAAATTTACTGACCCCAAACTTTTGAACGGTAGTGTATATTGTTAGAAAAGATTTATATTTTAAATAAATGCTCTTCTTTTTAACTTTGTATTCATCAAAGAATCCTGAAAAAAAAGTATCACAGGTTC